CACTATAGCCAGGTCTTTGATCACTCTCAGTTTGCCACTGGCATCGATCCGGCGCTTCTCCCTTATTAGATCCTCCAGGCTGTGGAACCGCACCGTGTGCACCTTATTCTCAGCCATATGGATCTTGAGATAGTATTGCTGCTGGTGCTGGGTGCCGGCAGCAGCCTGCAGCTCCCCCCCGGCTTTGAACTCCCTTTTCCCGAACCGGCACCAGGCGGCGAAGCTCTCCGAGTTAGTCCAGCAGATCTCGTCGCTTTTTAAACCCAGGTGCCCGCAGGCGTTCTGCACCACCAGCTCTGCCACCAGGGGGCGGTAGCGGTACCAGCTATTCACCACCCGGCCCACGTTGCCAGCGCCCGCCTCGTACAAGCTGTCCTGGCGGATCTGGCCCTGGTGCAGGTGGATGATCTGCCCGCTGCCCACATAGACTGCCCAGTGCGGGGGCGGGGGCGGGTGGTCGGATGGCCCCAGGTAGAGCAGCTCCAGCAGGTCTCCCGGCTTGCAGAGGGCAGGCAGGGCCGAGACCGAGAAGACGCGCAGGTCCCCAGCCTGGGGGCCGCTGCTGACTTTGGAGAAGATGCATTCCTGGCCGCGGAAGGCAGAGAACTGGGTCTCGTTCAGCACCAGCTGGTGATGGTGGTGGTGGTGGGTGGGAGTGTCCTGGCTAGGGCTGCTGGAGCCCTTCACGCTGTACTTGTCCGGCTGGCCTCGCTCGTCCAGGTCCTCCTCCTCATCCGAGAAGAAGTAAGCCACCCCGACCCGCAGCTCGTCCTTCTCGATCCCCGAGGGGTCCCCGGTCGGCAGCTCGCTGTAATTCAGGTGGGTGATGCGATCCAGTTGATTTCCCATCAATGACAAGGCGAGGGTAGGAATCGCCGGGTCTGGGGGGAGGGAGGAGAGCAGCAGGCGAGAGGGAAAGGAGGCGGGAAGAAAAGGGAGAAGAGGAAGAAAATAAAATCCAGGCACGTAGAGTTTCAGTGGTTCCCCGGCCCGACCCGCGCGAGGGGGATGAAACTCCCCGTGCCCCGCTGGGGCTGCACCTGCCAGCGCCCGCATGGCTCGTGGTGTGGAGCCGTCCCGGGGACACCCCGCGTGAGGCGGGCGCAGCTCTCCCGGGAGCCATGGGGAGCCAGCAGCACCCCGCCCCGCATGCTAGGGTCCCCACCGGGAGAGGCAAGGGGGCAAAGTTCTCCCCCGAGCCCCTAGAGCTGGCGGCGCTGGAAGGTCCCCGTTCGCCCACTTGACCCCGGCGCAGCTCGGCAGGGCTGCAGGGAGAGGCGCGGCGGGGCAGTGTCTGCCCCCGGGCCGAGCCGCGACCCTTCCAGCCCCCACCCCAGCCCCTCGCGCTCCGTACCCGGGCTCGCCGCGCTCCAGCCAAGCGCCCAACTCCCTCAAAGTCTCCTCGTCCCCATGGGAGCCGCCGAGCAGCTGAGCAGCCTCATCCCCGGCTTCGGCTCCTCGGACGCGCGCTCCCTTCCCCTGGACAGCCCCGCTCTGCTCTGGGCTGCCCCCCACACCGGCGAGTCTAAGTACCGGTAGCTCCCGAGCCCAACACCCGCCCCGTGCGGAGCTCATTGGCTGCTTCGCTTTGCGCTTGGCACGAGGAGCGAGCCTCCGGGGTGTCAATCACCGGCCCAGGGTGGGTTTCCCTGGGCTCGCCGCTGCTCGCCAGGCTCCCGCCGCCCCTCGCCTGCTCGGCCGGGCTGCGAAGGGACAGAGCATCGGCGCACGACCCAGTGTCCCTACCACTCTCTCGCCCCCGGAGCGTGGCTGTGCAGAACCGGGTCGCGCGCGCACTGTGGCCAGAAGAGACAGGCAAGGTGACAAGTCAGGGATCTGCGGATTGCCAGGGTTCCCCGGTACCGCTCTCTAGGTGTTTCGTTGTCTGGCGGTTGCACAATACGATTATTTAAATAGTAAATAGCATGCACGGTGTGAGGCCAATGCAAACCTACATTATATATCAATAACGTTATTTCATCTGTAACTCAAAAAAGTGTGACCACGAAAGCTGCAGATACTATCTATATGTTTGTTAATCTCTAAAGTGCTACTGGACCGTTGCTATTTTTTTTTTAAGGATACCGACTCATCTGTAAATAATTAGGAGCTCTACTAAGGAGCTCAGACGTTCACCAGGCTTCACAACACCATGAGATTTGATAATTTTTTCTCTGCTTGGAGGCTTTAAATCAAAACTGGTTGTCTCTCTAGAAGAGATGATGTAGGTCAACCAGATTTGGGTAGGGGTTGTTCAATGCAGGAATTACAGGGTCTCTGTCAGTGGTATTTTGCAGGAAGTAAGGCTACATATCATGTGGAACATTGGACTCAGATTCTCAATGATGTTCAGATGTCAAATGTCCATGGTTTTAATTGGGAGTTGGGTGCCTACATGTCTTTGAGGGTTTGGTCTAATAATCCCTTCTGGCCTTCTTAAACAATCAAAGAAACAAAAAGAATCCCCGCTTATAAATCACCTCTGTGAGATTAATAATAATAGTGATGATGATGACAATAAGTAATTTATTCTCATTTTACAAAGGAGGAAATGTAGGCGTTAAGATATGAAGTCACTTGTCCAAGGTCTCACCATGAGTCCATGATAATTGCTTGCTTCATTTCAATTTCTCTTCTTATTAACTTTGAACAATATCAGCAGTTCATTTTCACCACAAAGAAACCATCATCAAATTTTATTTCAGTTTCAGATGGTTCATAGTGCAGGCAGCATCTGAGACAAATGTGGACCTTCTTAGTTAAATTATAGTCTTGTGTGCAATTTGGAAGACCCCTCACTCTGTGCATCCCACAGATCAAATGTTTATTTGGCTAATCTTTCTGCATCAGCATTTCCAAGATGTGTCACTTATGAGGTGCTAATTAAACATAATTTTGAAAATATAGATTTTAAAATGTTGGACTCATTCCTTATATTAATTACCTATTGATTCAACTTACACACACACACACACACACACACACACACAAAAGCAAACAAACAGGAGAGAACATAAAGAGCAACCTCACATGACTTCCTACCCTAATTGACAGGTATTTCACTGTGAAGCTGCTCCTGTCATTTTTCATTGTAGTAACTATAATTAGCTACCGGGCATCCAAAGTTTGGGGTCTCAGGACTAGATCCTCAGTGCAGTGAACCTACCCTAATTTACATCAGCTTAAGGCTCTGGTTTTCAGGGTTTATATATCTGGAAGGTAGCTTCAAAAGAACAAAATATTTTTTAAAAAATCCAATTTTAATGTGATAAATTTGAAAGATTTTATGGGTTAAATGTGATAGCTCAGTATTTCTTAATATATGGAACTGTGTAAATGAATTTATTAATACTCATTAGGCATTATGTAGTCTTATACTTTGATCACCCTAATATTTTAACACTTTATTATATAGGCAAATTTGTATCTTCATACTTAAGCTTATTTTAGGATTTGCACATAAAGCAGGGTTTAATTCCCTAGGATTTACATTACTCTCTCTTAACATACTCCATTACCAAAGCTGGATCATTTTGAAGATCAGACCTTTCTCATATTTTCTAGGATACATCCTTCAGTGCTTTTATGAACAGTTTCTGTTTGCAAAACACTATTTTTTTTCTTTTTAATATCTACACTTTTTTGGATCCCACCCACACAGTTCTCACACTTCCCACAGTTGCCAATCATCAAGATGATAAGAATGGCAGAAGGTCATTTTTAGACAATTCCAAGCAAACAGAAAACTTGTTTAATCTTTGCCAGGAACAGACAGAGGAGAATGCATTGCTGCTATAGGCTGCTTGGTGTAAAGGAATCACTGTTATAGTCTGCTGTGCTGTTGTCTAGATGGCAGATTCCTTGACACAGCTCTGTTCCCCTGCCTGGCTTTCCATCATAACTCTTTTTCTGCCTCCTATGGTCTCAGTCCCGTTGGTGTTCATGCTATCTGCGCTAGTCCATCATGCTCCCTCAGTTCCATTTGACTCAGCTCCCTTCAACTCCATTTCATTCACTCCCACCATCCACTTCCCATTTATACTCTGTCTGCCAACTACCAGACTTTGCCACAGCTTTGCTAATTCCACATCCCTCACACAGTTTATATAACCCCAAATCATTTCTATCAGCCAAGAATCCGATGGTTAAAATAAATTGAACAATGAACAAGAAAGGTAATTTTATTTTATTTCAACCAATAAACATGTATAAAATTGCAAAAGGGAAGCACAGCACAGTCCTAGCGAGTATGTAAACTGGCTGCTTGAACAAAGGAGTTGTTGATTAGGCATTTCAAGGCTCCTGGTGAGATTACAGAATTGTTGCAGAAGCAAATCAAAATGTTCTTAAGATGGACGGAGATTTGGCCCACAGCTTTGGTCCTCCACATACTTGTTTTGTTTTGTTAGTTTTCATGAGCAAATTTTTTGCCTCTTTCAGTGATTACTGTTCTGGAAACACTTGGCGACTTCTTCAGCACCACAGAAGCTTCAGGGGTAGCTGAGTTAGTCTGTACAGAATAAACTTAAAAAACAACAAATGGTCTGGTAGCACTTTATAGACTAACAAAACACGTAGATGGTATCATGAGCTTTTGTGTGCACAGCCTACTTCTTCAGATGAAAAACTCCAGTAATCTGAAGAAGTGGGCTGTCCCCACGAAAGCTCATGATACCAGTAAACTCAGAGCTCAGCAGCAAATTTAGAAAGATGTGGATTGCAGCAACATACTCACGTTGGCAGTGTTGCCATCATGGTAGAGATACCACCACAAGTCGGGACTGAGAAATTTACCAACACAAATACTGAATTTTCTGTTTTTCTAATTCCAAAATATTGACTGTTACTTTTACTGGCATACAATGAGCTGTGTTCCTGGTTCACTAGGGACCATTATCAAAACTCACATAAACCCCAAAAGATCTGGGTATCTTAAATAAATATAAACTGCTATTGACAAAATTACTGAAGAAAATGTATGTTGTGATGCTTTACCCATGATTTTCTCATTCATTTACTCACTAATCTGCAAAACTCAGTGCAATGGTTTTCTCCAGACCAGACGAGGGAAGGCAACCAGATGAAGTCACCATCTCCATGGATGTACTCTGAACCCTCCTGGGATATGAACCTAAGGTTTCCATTATTATCTCCTCTCTTTGGTTCATCTTATTCTTCCTATCGCTTTCCTTGCCTTCTGTCTAATAGGAGCACAGTTGAGTTGTAGGACAAATCTAACCTGGTAACAATTTGCTGTGATCAGCCTGTCAATGTGTATGTTGTGTCTGTGACTTTTCTGGTTAAAAATCTTCAATGTGTATTTTTGTTTTATCTTAAGAAGAAAGAGAATAATAACAAATCTGAAACTTGTTACTTAAAAATGACTCTCTGTGTCTTTTTTTTCCAATAAAAATATTGACTGTTACTTTTACTGGCATACAATGAGCTGTGTTCCTGGTTCACTAGGGACCATTATCAAAACTCACATAAACCCCAAAAGATCTGGGTATCTTAAATAAATATAAACTGCTATTGACAAAATTACTGAAGAAAATGTATGTTGTGATGCTTTACCCATGATTTTCTCATTCATTTACTCACTAATCTGCAAAACTCAGTGCAATGGTTCTCCCAATTTAGAGATTTTCAGTTTTTCCCAGTGGGGACTACATCTTAATACGGACATTGTCTTCCAAACCATTCTTTTGCCATTTGAAATACACAACTTTCCTATGGCAACTACAGCAATTGCTTCCATGGAAAATAAATATTTTGGAGACTATTTTGCGTATATGCAGTTATCTTTCAAGACAGTGTAGCAACTGAATACAAGAAGTAAAAAAGGCAGCATCATGTGCCCACTCAACTCTGTATGGGCCACTTGGCATGTTTTCAAGCAACACTTTCCTCATCAGGAATTTTTTCATTTTCTAGACTGGATGGAGTTTTAGTAATACAATATCAACATATTCAAAATGCCTTCACTAGAGTAATGGCTCTTTATAGGAAAGAATTTTTCAGTGTACCACTACCTTCTATATAATGTTGTCTTTTCTGTAAATTACGTAGGCCAGAAGCCACAATGTATGAGTATCTAAGGTCACATGGACAGCTATAAATAGATTATTAGCTTACTGTTCCTTTTTCTCATCCCATAGCCCCTGAGGCATACTAGGCAAAATGACTTCTGTAGTGTAAGTCATCAAGTTTTCATGGATTTCCCATTTCAGAATGGACAGAGCTCAATTTTTACTGAAAGAGCTTCTGGCAACTTGGAATATGCCTGCATGCATTGGGCTAGACTTCTTCCTGGCCCTTCCCTCCTTTACTTGTTTAAATCTTTGCTGTATAAATATGATGTGCTATACTACCCCTGATTTCTGCTGCCCTCAAGGACCTTCATGAAAATTAGATATTTTAAGTAAAAAGAACAGTAACACTTCTTCCTAGGCAAAAAGGCCAGTTAATTTTTAAAAGTCTTTTATCTGGGATTCTTTGATCATTTTTCAACATATCCT